TTTTAACAGTAGAAATGCTAGATATATTCCAGTTCCATTAGTCTCCTTATTATGCTGTGAGATTGTAATGATCTGTTGTGCAATTTTCTTGTTTTCACGATATTGCGGAAGGGTGTTTGTTTGTGTGTAGGGGAGTGGTTTAGATATTTCTCTTATGGCTTAGTTGATGTTCAATCACAGGACGCATAGTTCATCTAGTGCTATATTTGTTGTTGATTAACTAATGGCGTGAAATATTATACAGAATTTAAACACTGCTTTAATCAGAAATATTTTGGATGGGGTAATAAAGAAATGCTACCCCTTACCAAACTTCATGCCAAAGATGGTGGATTCCTGGTGGATGATGAACTACTGATTGTAGCTGAAATAGATGTTTTTGAAGTTATTGGCACAAAAGATGTGTCTAAAGAGGCACTTAAGAAACCTTTATCGGAAAAGGAAAGCGTGGATGTCAATGGGTTTCAAGTTCTTCCTTCACAGGTAAGAAACTCAAGAATGGTGCAAAATTCTTGTTACTCACTCTACAAAGACGAGATCATGTATTCGTATGCTTCCTAATCTCCAAAGAATGCTCTATCTCATATGCTTTGTTGTACATGTGTTTTTCACTCGCAGGTAGAATCCGTGAGACGTATATTTGAATTGCATCCAGACATTGCAGCAAAATTCCGTGGAAAGAACCAACATGTGAGGACGGCATGCATGAACTTCTTACTCAGTCTTATGGAGATGCTGCGCCAACCACTTAAGGAGCTCTCCAATGAAGATCTGGAGGAAGCTGACATTATGCTGGAATATTTGAAAAATGCGTATTTTAAGGTTGATTGGTTGGAGATGGAGCTGGAGCAAGTCAAAGAAAAGAAGGAGACTGAAAAGGCTTAGGCTCTTGTAAAGACTTGAAGCCGAAGTTCTCTGTCCTCGAACAATACTCAATAAATTATTATATATGTAATATGAAAAACTGTGTGACAATAAAAAAAGAGTATCATCCCCTGTAAATAAATAATCGGACATGTACGATTTTAACCATACCCCTGGTGAATCGTGATGTTCTGGGGAAACTAATGATGAATAAAATACTAATGTAAGTATGCACTCTTAAACTTTCAATTCATGTTTCCCTTAACAGAGTAGATGATACTCATTGTGCAAAGTTTAATGGTTTACGTAGTGTTCTGCATTTTAGAGTTTTATGTTGGTTTTGGGAAGACTACATGGTTTTCTGTTTTGATAATTATCTCTGATGTTTCATATACGGAGAGGTTGAAACAAAACAAAAAACAGAAATACAATCTTTTTTGGCAGAGATGTTGGTTTTCTGTTGATATGGTTCATACAATCTTTTGTTTTACTCACAGGTAAGATCTGTTAAGCGTTTACTTGAAACTTGAAAGATACGCAGACACTTGTAATTTGGTTTTATACTTGGTGAGTTGGTCATTGGTGCTCCGGTTGTGTCGAGAGTTTTTTTTTTAGTATTTTGTGATGGAGTCTCTTGGTGCTTAAGACTTTGCTTTGTGCTGCTTAAGCACGGGAACCATTCGTAGACCAGGGCATGCGAGACTGATTATGGGAAAAACTTGGGGAAATACAAAGTACACTAAAAC